CCCTCGCCCATCCCAGCTACTCCAGGAGAAATTCCTGGAGTTCGCCAGCGAGACGGGCAGCGTCGGGCAGGAGCGGATCGCCGCCGTCAACCAAATGGTGGACGAACTGATCGACTACGGGCACGCCGACGCCGCCACCATCGCCGAGTGGAAGGACGGGGTGAACGAAGCTTGGGCGGACCTTCTGGAGCTGATGGAGACCCGGGCCCAGATGTTGGCGGCTTCCCACGAGTTGCACAAGTTCTTCAACGACTGCAAAGAGGTTTTGGGGCAAATTGAGGAGAAACGGCAACGCCTGCCCGAACTGGCAGCCCGTGAGGGCAGGACGTCGGCCGGCGCCTTGCAACGGGCGTTGGGTGCCTTCGAGCACGACGTGGAGGTGTTGGTGACCCAAGTCCGGCAGCTACAAGAGGGTGCGGCGCAGCTGAGGACCCTCTACGCCGGGGACAACGCCGAGGCCATCGCCGGGAGGGAGCAGGAGGTGCTACGGGCATGGAAGGAGCTCTTGGCGGCGTGCGAGGAGTGCCGGCTCCACGTCGCCAGCGTCGCCGATAAGATCCGCTTCGTCGGCACCGTCAGAGACCTCCTCGCCTGGATGGACGGCATCCTCTGCCAGATCGGCGCCGGAGAGAAGCCCAGGTAGCGGGAGCCGCGGGCTGCGCCGAGGTCCCGCGTCCTGTGCTGGCCCCGAGAACCGTGTCCCTGGCCCATCCGTGGTGCCAAGGACCCGTGTCCCGGCCCATCCCGAGGACCCGTGTCCTAGCTGATCCTGAGGACCCACGTCCTGTCCCATCCGTGAAACCGAGGCAGTCTTGTCCCATCCGGAGGACCCGTGTCCCGTCCCATCCGTGAAGCCAAGGAATTGTGTCCCGTTCCGTCTGGAGGATCCATGTCCTGTCCCATCCTGAGGGACCCGTGTCCCGTCCCATCCGTAGCACCAATGAACCGTGTCCTGTCCCATCCCGAGGACCCCGTGTCCTGCCTGATCCTGAGGACCCATGTCCTGTCCCAGCCATGGAGCCAAGGACCCGTGTCCTGTCCCATCCTGAAG